GATCATATTTTAGTAAATCTTTGAAATTATTAATTTATTAAATAGTGATCATCTTACTCTACTTGATATTATATATATATATATTGACAAACTACAGAATATTAGTGGATTAATAAGTTAAATTATTACAAAATAACTATAGTTAATAGTTGCCCCATCAACTTGAACCTCCAACTTTCTCATTAGCTTAAAGAATAATTATATGGACCACTGGACCAACTGTCCTCTATATATATATATATATATAATACTTATGAGAAAATATGGCATTATTATCTTTTTTTAGTTTCCAATAGTATTATTCCCATCCTGAGTAAAAAATCTCAAAATCCCAATAAATAATTATAACACAATCCACAAATTAAAAATTATTTATAATAAAAAAAAATCCTAACATGAGAGGCCTAATAATTTTGACCAACTTTTTATGCAAGATGAATCCACTAAGCTAAAACAATACATTTTTTTTCATCAAAGAAACCCAAAATCGTTGATTAACTTAGTAAGATTTTTAATTTTAGGTATATTAAATACTTTATAGTAATAAGAATGAACTTGATAATGAGGTTGGTTTTTTGTTTGGGCCAAATATAGGAGTGTATTTTGTGTGTAGTGATTGGTATTCATATTAGGTATATTTGGCAAAGCCATCTAGTCTTAGTAGCATGAAGCTTATGTAAAGTTTGGTGCATGTAATGTTTTTCCTATTTGGTTTCGTTTTCATTTTAAATTATTACATTTCATGTTTTCAAAAATAAAAACAATGAAAAAAAAATCAAAAACATTTATCGTTTTCATTTTTGTAAATTCATAAACTATTTAACCGTGTTTCCTAAATAGGGAATTTCAAAAACCTTTTGAAAATAATCTTTGAAAACAGTTTATTGAACAACTTTTTTTTTCTTTCTACTTTTTAGAACAAAAGCAGAAAATGATACCAATCACATTTCTTTTATCTCCTTAATTCCCATAAAATAATAAGGTTCTAGTTGTGGTAAAAGTTCACCATAATGGATCATTGGGCTTGACCTTGCCTCTTGCTGTAGGCCTAGTGGGATATGGGCTTGAATCCCATTGGGCTGTCCCAATAGTTGGCCCAGATTATTTTCCCCCAATCATTTTCATTTATTTTAAATTCACCACAATCCATGAATTACAAAAATGCTCAAAAATTAATAAAATTACTTATAATAATATTTCTTTGCTTTTTTTTTAGCTTATAATATTTCTTTCCTTTTTGATTGTTGGAGAAATGATAAAATAAAATTTGTGATAAAAAAAAAAATCCCTTAATTCATTGGCACATGTGATGCATTACAAAATAAGTGTCTTAAAACTTGTAATAGGGTTTAACCATGATCATGACGCATGACCAAATTTTGTTTTTGCATTCAGACCCTTCATAAGGCTTTGTTGTCTTTATCTCTTGGGCCAGCATGTATTTTTGCCTTGATCAAACTAAAGTTTCTCTATCTATAAAAAAATAAATTAATAAAACACTAAAGTTACTTTGTCATTTATTTAACCCTTGCTATACCAAAACAATTTTGTCAGGAGGGAACAAAATCACCAATTTTCATTGGCTAAAATAAATGAATGAGTAAGGTGAGTCCCATTTAAATAATGAAAATAAAATCTAATTTTTTTAGAGAATTAAATATCACAAATAATATCAAACTTATCTTATCTTCATAATAGTTGAACTCACAACCTCAAATTAAAAAATAATACTATATAACCATTAAATCAAAGATCTTGATTTTTCACATATGTTCAATTTATCTTAATTTTACTTAAAATTTTCATAATCAAACATAAAAATAAGTGTAAATTATAGTGATCTCCTTTGAGGTTTAGAAAAAATACAATAAACTTCATAATTTTGACATAATTACATAGACTTCCCTTTTAATCTACTTAAAGAGACTAAAATTAATGTAAAAAATATGAAGATACCACAATACACAATATAAAAATGTATATTTAATGTGAAATATGTAATAACTCTATTTTTTTTTATACGACTAATTTTTGATGAAAAATGAATCAAATGTCATATAAATTAAAATTTCAAAAGAATTTTAATATAAGTGTGCCAACCTTGTAAACTTCGCTATATTTATATTTTTTTATATCTATACAGTTTACCTAAACAACTTATGAGATTTCAAGAACTTTCTAGATGGACCACAAGCCCTTCCTAGTAGTCCCCTCCCCATTGATGAGGCAGGTTGCCCCCAACCTATGGCCTATTATTTGCCGAATGCAAGGGCAAATTGCACTTCATTACATATTTTCAAAAACTCTATTTTTTTTATATACGACTAATTTTTGATGAAAAATGAATCAAATGTCATATAAATTAAAATTTCAAAAGAATTTTAACATAATTGTGCCAACCTTGTAAACTTTGCTATATATATATTTTTTTATATCTATACAGTTTACCTAAACAACTAATGAGATTTCAAGAACTTTCTAGATGGACCACAAGCCCTTCCTAGTAGTCCCCTCCCCATTGATGAGGCAGGTTGCCCCCAACCTATGGCCTATTATTTGCCAAATGCAAGGGCAAATTGCACTTCATTACATATTTTCAAAAAAATTATAAATTAATGGTAAATTTTATCAATTTTAATATTTAAAATTATATATTTTTTTATAAATTTATAAATATTTTTTCAACACACCACAAACTTGCAATTTTTCCCGAAACCAAATCTATATTGAAACCAGCACCAAAATTCAGGGAAGGACAAAAAGCAACAAAGAGTGGGTCACTTTGGGGTTGGACTGCAAATAATAAACGTAAAAAAAGAAAAAAAAATTAAAAATTAAAAATCATAACTCAGTCCGATTCAAACTCTTCATGCATGGATTCTTTTCTTATATTCAATCTATGATTTTATAGTTATAGTTGTACGGGGGCGAAATATCCTCTGCTTTCTGTACTCCTTGTACTCTGAGCTTCTCTTGACGGCGTCTACCTGGCAACACAGAAACGGTGAGCTGCCCGGCGGTGGTGTGCCGGATAGACCCTCCGACGATCAAGTCAATCCACTTGAGGAAGAAGAAGAAGACTGAGAGAGAGTATTCTTTTTGGGGAAGAAGTTGCATACCTCTAACGTTCGTCGTCCTCCTCCCTATTTCAAGGCTGGCCATGCAGCCTCAAGATTATGCGCGCACTACCTCTGCTGTCCTTCCCAAGACAGGTGGCAATGCTCGCCTCTCACCACCTTACGCGTGTAAAGGCTTAGTCCTCCCATCAGTACACGCAGAACTGCCTAACGGTATTGAGGCATGCGTGAGGCAGATGTCCCTTCCCTCGTGCCATTGGCCTAGGTGGCACACCTGACCGTAGTACCACGACCGACCTATCTCCCACGAAGAACTATCACTACAGGCGCTCAACCGCGCTATGCCCCACCGGACTGCCCCTTGGCAAAGGGGTGGCAGGGTGATGCTCATGGGCCGGGCTGGAGTTGACCAATTTGTCATGGCATACCGGTCGCGAGGCATGCCGGCCCCCGTCCGTTCTACCCTAATCCGAGGTTATCTAGAATCTGCCCATCTCGGCTCATCGGTCAGAGACGTGCCATCCCTCCCTTGTCCAAAGTCTAACCCGAGCTACCCGTAGCCCGATCTCGCCACTTGGCTGTGTGCACTGCCTCGCAGCTCGGCCAGGCTTAGTTCACGCCCGGTCAGCCGGTCTTTTAGACCGAGCAAAACAGATCCGTCCAATCTCTACTCGGCCGTACTAACGGCACAAATCTCCCCTCTCAATAGTTATGGTATATATATAACTTTTATTACTTAAATCATTTAATTTAAAAAAATATATATATACATGGTGAACTTGCACCTGCAACTGTTGATGGATTGTGGTAAAACTAATTTTAAATAATCATACAAACAAATTCTATTTGAAAAATGATAGCATATTTCTAGATATTTGAATCGGATATCAGTAATATTATGTGAGTATCTTGGTAATGATAACATGTTTTCTAGAAATTGTGGTTCTAAATCAAATTGAACCATGGTTCATTCTAGTTTGGTGCCAACTTTTTTTTATAATTTGAGTGCATCTTTTGATACTTGTTTAAAATACGAATTGTCTCATATAGTTTAAAAAATTATAAATTTTTTCTTGTTAGAATTTTTTATTTAACAAATTAACTAAAAAATGAAATTCCTAACTGTTCTCTTACATAATAAAATTGCTTAAATTATTAATTAAAATAAATTTTTAACATCATTAAAAATTATTAATTAATTTGATAATTTATTAATAAAATGAGTTATTAGAAACATCATGGAAATGAATGTAATTTATAAAACTACATATAGATCAATTTATATTTTAAATAAATCTCAATGGAGTGTTTATAATTTTTTCAAAATTAAATTTTCAAAATGGACAAAAGTTTAAATCCAACCAACCCAGTCCACCATTGTAGCCACATAATTCTCCACTTTCGGTTAGCCACTCCTTTTCCATTGGCAAGCCCCTTTCCCTCTCAGTCCTTCATCAGCGATCTTACTTCCACTATAGCCTACATCCTACGACCCACTTTTCTTTAAGTTAAAGATTCGAAGTAAGGGAGTGACTGGAAAAAAGAGAAGATGGTAAAGGATTAGAAAAATATTTCAAAACTTTAGAGCAAGAGCTCTAGAACTTGCTCTAATGATGTAGTAGTTGTGTGGAGTCCATCTTGATGCAATGTTTTGGCTTGAATTTTTTTTTTTTGAAAGTTGTCAGCTCAGTAGAGCTCTATTTAGAGCTCTACCTTTAGGGCTTTAAATCATCATTGAAAGGGTTATAGAGGGGTGGCAGAGAGAGATTGTCACGACCCAAACCTGCTCCTAAAAGTTTGGGCATGACTGGCCTAACCTAAGGCCTCAACTTTGTTATAATAAATTTTACTCATGATTAGGGCCAAAACGGAAGCAAAATAATATAATAAACATTCATTGAGCTATGACTACATGCCAGGATCTTAACGTAGTACCATACATCAGTACATAACATTCTATGCGTCATTTACATTACTGTTATGTACAAAAAGTAACAACCCAAAAGTTAGGTAGTGCCAATGTATATATACATATGTCTATTCCTCCTAATTTCAACAAAACATGCTAACACACCGATTTTCCAAAATTAAACAAAGAGTCACTTCGGATGGCTCAGCAAAATGGTTCAGTAAAAGACTCATGGGCTAACTTACGGTTGTCCCATGGGCTGATCACCTACAAAACATCCATAAAGAGAAATGAAGTGAGTAGGGCTCAGTGAATGATAGCAATACAACAGATTAAGGGTACGAGCATAATTTTAATAGTGCATATTCATAAATCACGGCTTGGTCTTATTCATATTTCCTTTTCTGAACGGCTTCAGGCTCACATAAGACAGAACGACCTTAGACCCAACGTAATACAGAACAACCTCAGGCCTATCATAATAGAAAAATAGCCTTGGGCCCAACAAATTACAAAACGACCTTATGTCCATTATTTTAGCAAAACGGCCATAGGCCCATCATAACAGCAAACAAAACAACCTCGGGTCCATATCTCATGTGCCAAGTGCAAACACATATCGAGCATATCTCATATATCATAAGTCACTTGCTAAAAGAGTAAATAAGGTAATGAACCACACATAAAGACATAATACATTAACGAAACATGACGTTACTCTACTATCACTCACAGTGATGCGGTTGAACGATGGTCCTCTCTTGTATGTGTCCTACACATAGCATACAATTCATAAGCATATCACATTTTCTTAGTTTCTTCTTATTTCGCAATTATCCTATTCGTTAAGTTTCATGTAATTAAATGCATTATAGGAACACCGAACGAGCATAATATCACATTCAGCGGGTCGAAAAGAGCGAAAGAAAATTATAGAATTTTTCAGCTTGGGCCGCACATGCTTTTATTGCAGTGTAGCCCAATCCTTCACCCCTGTTTTCCGCACGTGCGGCTATGCCTCCCGCACGTGCGGTCCTATACCCCGTTTTGGTAGTTCGAAACTTAGATAAAAACTCAACTAACCAAACTCATTCCAAGGTATAAGATAGAGAAAAATTAGCTCAATATCATGGTATATCATCATGATGAACATGAATCACAAGCATAATGAGTCCATTTTCCCCTTAAATTTATATATACATCCCAATTTCTTTATATTTCTTCCATGCTTGGTTGATCACAATATTTCTCTATAAACAACAAGATGTATGGGTGAGGTCAAAACATATAGAGCTAAAGATACATAGCTTAAACTACCTTAAGCACAAGGATTATCCATCAAAACAACCCACTACCATAAGCAAAGCTCTTGCTGTAACCCTAACTTACATGAATGGACAGCTTTCCTTCTCAAATCAAATAGACGGAGAGATTAGGATGTTCTAGTTAAATTATACATACCTTGAACTCTAGTCTCAAAGCCCTTTTTCAATTCCTTCAATCCTCACTCTTGTTGAGCCTCCCTTCTTCCCTCTTCTTCTCTAGCACATTCTCTCCCTTTTTGAGGAGATATTAAGTCATCCATTTATTTTATATCCATCTAGTATAAGTCTTAAGAGGGTGAAATCCCAATTTTTCCAATTAATTCGTTACGAATCAAATTTTTACAAAATTTAATATTATCTCCTAAAAATTACGCTAATCATAAATGTAAAATCAATTTTGGGTTATCGCACCTCTAAAACTTCCAATTTCAAGTTTAAACATCCTAATTTTAACAGAATTTCTCCAACAACCCACAGATAGAATGACATAATTAAATAATTCGTATATGTAAGCACAATTCCACATGAAATTTCACATTAAGCATGTAATTACTCATATAACTAGAGATGTAAAGCACATAAGAGGGTCGGGTTATTAGAGGGATTGTAAAAGGTGACAGAAAGATATAGATGGGCTGAACAGAAAAGAAGAAGGGATTGTCGGTGACAAAAAAGATTAAATAGGAATTAATTGAGTTGTTAAAAAAAAAAAAGAGAACAAAAATTAATGGATAATGTTACGAATATTAAATTTTTTACTAAATAAATGATCAAATGTCTCAAATAGGTCTGAGATCTACACTTTTATGGACCATACATCAATGTGAGATATTTAATTATTTATTTAGTAGAAAATTTAGAATCTATAATATTTTCCAAAATTAATTGGAGGATGGTTTTTTTTTTTTTTTTGATTCAAAGAGAATGGGGTGTTCAAACGTTAAGATGGCCAACAAATTTATTGGGGTCCATTTAAATGCACTCAAGGCTCATATTCAAATCTTATTAAATGTTTATTTTGTCCTTCTTAATTTATATATTTTATATACAATATTGAAAATTTTAAGTCTGTGATTTTTTTTATTATATAAACTACCTTAAGCACAAGGATTATCCATCAAAACAACCCACTACCATAAGCAAAGCTCTTGCTGTAACCCTAACTTACATGAATGGAAAGCTTTCCTTCTCAAATCAAATAGAGGGAGAGATTAGGATGTTCTAGTTAAATTATACATACCTTGAACTCTAGTCTCAAAGCCCTTTTTCAATTCCTTTAATCCTCACTCTTGTTGAGCCTCCCTTCTTCCCTCTTCTTCTTTAGCACATTCTCTCCCTTTTTGAGGAGATATTAAGTCATCCATTTATTTTATATCCATCTAGTGTAAGTCTTAAGAGGGTGAAATCCCAATTTTTTCAATTAATTCGTTACGAATCAAATTTTTACAAAATTTAATATTATCTCCTAAAAATTACGCTAATCATAAATGTAAAATCAATTTTGGGTTATCGCACATCTACGACTTCCAATTTCAAGTTTAAACGTCCTAATTTTAACAGAATTTCTCCAACAACCCACAGATAGAATGACATAATTAAATAATTCGTATATGTAAGCACAACTCCACATGGAATTTCACATTAAGTATGTAATTACTCATATAACTAGAGATGTAAAGCACATAAGAGGGTCGGGTTATTAGAGGGATTGTAAAAGGTGACCGAAAGATATAGATGGGCTGAACAGAAAAGAAGAAGGGATTGTCGGTGACAAAAAAGATTAAATAGGAATTAATTGAGTTGTTAAAAAAAAAAAAGAGAACAAAAATTAATGGATAATGTTACGAATATTAAATTTTTTACTAAATAAATGATCAAATGTCTCAAATAGGTCTGAGATCTACACTTTTATGGACCATACATCAATGTGAGATATTTAATTATTTATTTAGTAGAAAATTTAGAATCTATAATATTTTCCAAAATTAATTGGAGGATGGTTTTTTTTTTTTTTTTGATTCAAAGAGAATGGGGTGTTCAAACGTTAAGATGGCCAACAAATTTATTGGGGTCCATTTAAATGCACTCAAGGCTCATATTCAAATCTTATTAAATGTTTATTTTGTCCTTCTTAATTTATATATTTTATATACAATATTGAAAATTTTAAGTCTGTGATTTTTTTTATTATAAAATCTTACTATTTGTTGACTCAATTAAAGCGACAAACGTACGTCCAAAAAAAAAACTACAATAATTTGTGAGGGATTAATATAAACAAAAATGATAGAGACTCTCTTTTTCCTTTATTCCCATAATCTCCACAGACATATGTCAGTGAGTGATACAAAGAAAAAAAAATAAAAAAATAAAAATTAATCAATCCCAATACATTGAGGATGATGGAGGTCAAGAAAAAAGGAGTCTCAACCTAATTTTACGCTCACATAATGGCTCTATAAACCCCATATGTAAGAAGCTCAACTTAGTATATCAGATTTCTGTTAAGAATGATTTTAAATGTATAATGAATTTTTTTTTAAATAGTTATATTTATATATATATATATATATATATTACAGGTAGCATACATTTCATAATAGAAATTATTATGAAGATCAAAATATTTTAGTTTAGATTTACTATTTAAAACTATGTTTCAAAAAATTGAGTCATGATCAAAAAATATATGTTATTAAGACATTTGTGGTGCAATCGTATACCTTATTTGAGTTAATTTACTGCCATGATCATATTTTAATAAATCTTTGAAATTATTATTTTATTAAATAGTGATCATCTTACTATACTTGATATTATATATATATATATATATATATATATTGACAAATTACATAATATTAATGGATTAATAAGTTAAATTATTACAAAATAACTATAGTCATTCCATCAACTTGAATCTCCGTCTTTCTCATTATCTTAAAGAATAATTACATGGACCACTGAACCAATTGCCCTACCCATAACTATAATACTAATGAGAAAATATCGCATTATCATTTTTTTAATTACCAATAATATTATTCCCATCCCGAGTAAAAAATCTCAAAATCCCAATATCCCAATTAATAATCATAACACAATCCACAAATTAAAAATTATATATATAATAAATAAATAAAAAATCCTATCACAGTAAGTGAGAGGTCTAATAATTTGGACCAACTTTTAATATGCAAGATGAATCCACTAAACTAAAACAATATATTTTTTTCATCAAAGAAACCCAAAATCGTTGATTAACTTAGTAAGATTTTTACTTTTAGGTATATTAAGTACTTTATAATAATAAGAATGAACTTGATAATGAGGTTGGTTTTGTTTTGGCCAAATATAGGAGTGTATTTTTTGTGTAGTGATTGATATTCATGTTCACTAATTTAGTTTAGCATGAAGCTTATGTAAAGTTTGGTGCATGTAATGTTTTTCCTATTTGGTATCGTTTTCATTTTAAATTATTGCTTTTCATGTTTTCAAAAATAAAAACGATGAAAAAAAAAATCAAAAACATTCATCGTTTTCATTTTTGTAAAATCATAAACTATTTAACCGTGTTTCCTAAATAGAGAATTTCAAAAAACTTTTGTAATCTTTGAAAACATTTTATTGAACAATTTTATTTTATTTTTTTCCATTTTTTAGAACAAAAGCAGAAAATGATACCAATCACATTTCTTTTATCACCTTAATTCCCATAAAATAATAAGGTTTTAGTTATGGAATCACATTTCTTCCATAATGGGTCATTGGGCTTGACCTTGCCTCCTGCTGTCTAGGCCTAGTGGGATATGGGCTTGAATCCCATTGGGATGTTCCAATAGTTTGCCCAGATTATCTGTATATTTCCCCCCAATCATTTTCATTTATTTTAAATTCACCACAATCCATGAATTACAAAAATGCTCAAAAAATAGTAAATTTACTTATAATAACATTTCTTTCCTTTTTGATTGTTGGAGAAATGATAAAAAAAATAAAGTGTCTCAAAACTTGTATTAAGGTTTAACCATGATCATGACCCATGACCAAATTTTAATTTATTTTTAGATTTTGTTTTTGCATTCAGACCCTTCATAAGGCTTTGTTGTCTTTATCTCTTGGGCCAGCATGTATTTTTTCCTTGATCAAACTAAAGTTTCTCTATCTTTCGAAAGTTAAATAAATAAAACATTAAAGTTTACTTTGTCATTTATTTAACCCTTGCTATACCAAAATAATTTTGTCACGAGGGAACAAAATCACCAATTTTCATTGGCTAAAAGAAATGAATGAGTAAGGTGAGTCCCATTTAAATAATGAAAATAAAATCTAATTTTTTTAGAGAATTAAATATCACAAATAATATCAAACTTCTCTTCATAATAGTTGAACCCACAACCTCAAATTAAAAAATAATACACATTAAATCAAAGATCTTGATTTTTTTACGTATGTTCAATTTATCTTAATTTTACTTAAAATTTTCATAATCAAACATAAAAATAGGGGTAAATTATAGTGATCTCCTTTGAGATTTAGAAAAAATACAATAAACTTCATAGTTTTGACATAATCACATAGACCTCCATTTTAGTATGGTTAAACAGACTAAAAATAATATAGATAATATGAGAACACGACAATACACAATATAAAATATATATTTTAATGTAAAATATATAATAACTCCATTTTTTTTATTTATACAACTAATTTTTAATAAAAAATGGATCAGATGTCATATAAATTAAAATGAGATTTTTATTGATAAGTCCAATTTAAAAGTGTTTTAACCCAAGAAGTCCATGAAGGAATTTTTTAACCCATTTAGTCCCATGTATGTATAGTTTTATTCCATAAAGTCCATTTTCTTGATTTACACTATTTTCTTGACACAGGTTGCCCCCAACCTATGGCCTATTATTAGCCGAAACCAAGGGCAAATTGCACTTCAGTACATATTTTCAAAAAAATTATAAACTAATGTTAAATTTTATCAATTTTAATAATTAAAATTATATATTTTTTCATAAATTTATAAATATTTTTTCAACACACCACAAACTTGCAATTTTTCCGCAAACCAAATCTAGATTGAAACCAGCACCAAAATTCAGGGAAGGGCAAAAACGAACAAAGAGTGGGTCACCTCGGGGTTGGACTGCAAATAAAATAAAATAAAATAATGAAAAATCATAACTCAGTCCGATTCAAACTCTGCATGCATGGATTTTTTTCTTAAAAAAGACGGGTATTTGCGACGGCAGAAAATACCTTCGCAAATACTCTCTTTTTTTGAGACGACAAATTGTGCCGTCGCAAATACTCTGTTTTTTTGAGACGACATTTTCTGCCGTCGCAAAAAGTGACTTTTTGAGATGGCAAATATGTCGTCGTAAATGAGTCCGGATTCTCGGCCGCCCTTCTCGGCGGCCGTCCCAGCAGCCCACCAAAACG